GACATGTCGTGCCTCCGTTCTCAGATGTCTTTAGCTTATTCAGTTGTAGAAGAACCTGCAGAGGTTTAATTGTTTTGTTTATCTTAAACTTTTCCGATCACCATAAAGTGTCCATACTTAATGACTTTTTCATTAACTGATGAAATACCATGTCATTAAACTGTATGTTTATACTTGTGGTAGTTAGTAAAATAACCACGTTGATATATATTTAATTTTGAACACCATTATATTCCCATATAGTTGTAGTGACAGACCTATGGTTTAGAATACACCATCCCTATAACTATTTCTAACTAACTCCTCTATTTCTATCTCCTCAGCGTTGTGAAGCCCACACGCCACTATACTGTCTTCCTGTCTGAAGATTCCTCTGATGATGAATGCCTGCAAGAGGAGGAAGCTGTCTCTGCCTTCTCTGAAAACTTTATCTTCTCTGCTCCCTTTGAATGGTGTCTATCCTCAATTCCCTCTTTACTGTATATCTTGGCATGATAAATGTACTACTTTCACAATAAAGTAGACAGTACATAATTACTTACAGAAAAATAATATTGGGCTCATTGGGGCCAAAACGGTGCACTATATAGGACTGTCCTCTATGATTGAGCTCATATGCATTGCTGGATGTAGTGTTACTTATCATCTCATTTGTTCATGTATACACCATCTTAAAAAATATGGAATAAGTTGGAATTAATTAGTCCTTTGTATTTTACAGGCCTCAACAGTATCGAACACTGAAAGAATCAGATGCTGACGGTGATGAAGTGATTAGTCCAGAGAAGGAGAATGAGGATGTGATTGGCGAGGAGCCACCTAGTACACAGCTTACACATATCAGTCTTCTGGAGGATATCTTTAATAATTTAGAGGTTGAGCCCCAGCCATTGAGCCAAGCTAAGAGTTTGGAAGACCTTCGTACTCCAAAGGATGACCAAGAAAACCACTTCAGTTTTGATTACCAGGTATTGTACAGATCCTTCAGATGTTCATAATAGTAGAATACTAGATTGTATACTGAGCAGTGTTCAAAATACTGTGTTGATAAATATTTGTCACTGAGCTAGTACTTGCACAAATGCTTTCTGCTACATAAATGCTAATGAATTTTGGAACGATCACCTTGTGTTTTAGATGCTGATTTATGTAATTGCAACTCTAGCATTCAGTGTTAAATGTGCAGGACAGTAAACTGCTGAATTAATTTTGCATATTTCTCTGAGTAATGCTGGTTTTCTGTAATAAATTCTTTGTAATGGACATTTTAAAAAAAGTAATACATTTCACTAGTTATATTCAGTCTCTGCTATAGTGTTCTATTACAAGTGCATAACTGTATGTGTATGTGTGACACATTTATTTAAAAACAAAATGTGCATTTTTACAGAGAATGGATTTTGCTGTACCAGACAGAAATCGCATGGTCCCCACAATAAAACCCAGTCATCCATACAACAAACTTTGGAGCATGGGACAAGATGATATGGCAATCCCAACAAAGCATCTCCAAATTTCACCTGAAAGATACTTAACCCTCCCTGACAGCACTAAAACACCACCACACAGGCAGAGTCCTTCAGCTTCTACAGAGAGAGAAGGAATGTGCAGCAACTTACAGGGCAGTATCACAATTCCACGACCACATGGAAGGAAGACCCCTGAACTAGGAATTGTTCCACCTCCTCCAGCAACCAGAATAATTAAACAGCAGAATGCACCGGTGGTAACAGAACATTGCAAATTGCAGCCAGGGGAGACCAGCAATATTTCTTTACAAAAGATGGCTGCATCATTTGGGGATTCATCACTGGAAGATGAACATACACAAACATCAGATTCTAGTTCTGTAGACTTGCTGCAGCCTGTCAAAGTGTCTACTGAGGTTGGAGTAAAAGATGATCTGCTGAGCCTCTTGGATCCTTTAAAGACAGGTCAGTGGCAAAGTGAAAGTCATCTGCCTGCGAGCAGCGGTGTACAGAGCTCAGACAGTCTTCACAGTTCTAGCACTCCCTGCTTTACTCATTTGCAAGGGGATTTCACATCTGGAACTTTCACTCCTCAATTGGGGTTCCCTTCACCACGACCTCCATTTCTACATTCTCCTCTTAACCCATTTGTCCAACCAATATCAAGAGAAACACCAATACCTGTAATGGGTGGGCCCTTCACTCCAGCAGTTGGCCCTGCTCTTGGGCCAAACACCCTGCTCCCTAGACCTGGATTATTCTATAGTCCGAGACCTCACGCTTCATTAATGCCAGTAAGCAGTCCCTTTGTACCATCAGCTTCACAAATCAGTCCTTTAATACAGCAGAGTCAAAACACCTCTGAAACACTTTCAAGCTTTCCATCCACTATCAGCCGCCCTGTGGGACACAGAACTTTACCCATGGTTCATCCCCGATCTAAAGCCCAGGATGGCAAATCAAAGGAGTATCCAATCATCCCACCTAGGCCCTCTAAAGTGCCAGAAACTGTTTTGCATCCGATCAAGCCAGAACAACCCAGGGATCCATTTGATGATTTGCTTAGCAAGACTAAACAAGAAGTAACACAAACCACAGGTAAAGTGGAGCAACTCCGGAAGAGGTGGGAAACGTTTGAGTGATATCCAGGTCTGTATTTTTTTTTTTTTTGTGAGCAGCAGAGGATCTTACTACATATAAAAAGAAGGCACTGCACATGGAACAATATGATTTCAAAAATCTGTCCACATGACTTTAAGACGATCCAGTTTTGCAATTTAAGTCTTTGATATTATAGATATATAGTATGCCATGCTTTTTTGTTTGGGTAACATATTACCAACTAGCTCTTGTTCCATTTTGCGTGTTCACTTTAAAACTGAAAAATAACATAGGCCTGTGGAAAATTAGAGCTTAGTAATAGACACATTGTGTGTGATGTGTCCAGAACGTGTCTAGAGGAACACATACAGTGCTTGTTCAATTATGTCACTTAAAAGTCTAGTTACAAAAAAAAAATCACTTTAATTGTCACCATCTATAAAAGTACATGTCCACACAGACTTACTCTTCTACAATGGTAGTATGTACCTGACACTGTACGAAGTATTTACAGTTACACCTTACTCCAGTGTGAAGTGCTTGCATTCTTATTCGAAAACAGGCATAGATTATTTAGTAGAAAGAACTGTCTCCATGAAAAAACATTATTGGGACTGTACCTGTGACTTGATAAGCAGTATGCATTATTGATTATGAACCGTATAATCAGACCTGCATTTTATGCTGAGTTATCAAAATGCTTTTTTTTGTTTTGTTTTTACTGCAGTGTTTTTGATATATTAAATCTGTAATGTAAGGTTATCTGAGAAGTGTGCAAGATTAGGTCCAGAATGACATGAATTTGTCAGAAAACCTACATGCAATATGAACCACATATACATAAGACACAATGTGTAACAACCTTGTACAGCCAAAAAACTCAATGTATTAAAAAAAATGACACGTTTAGCCACATGAAAGCAATAGAAGATAGGCCCTGCTCTTAAGGACTCACAGTGCGTTCTGTACTCAGCACACTGTTCATCCTGTACTTTGCATTATATTCACATACACTATGCTGCATTGTTTACCACTGCTCTACATACTCTAAATGTTGCTGTCTTGCAGTTCCGAGACTGTCTAAAATATGTTGCAGTATTATTTGTTGGTAGTTATGCTACCTTGATTAATTTTTAATATATGGCCCCGTTACAAATACAGTATTATATTTTTTTATTTTTTGGGGCGGTGGAGGGGAGGGGAAAGTTTTTTTCTTTGTTAGTGCGTCAGCATATTTAAGCAAATGTAATAGTCTTCATAGAATAATATAGGCCCAAAGATAATGTGATTGCTCATCTGCATCTCAGACTGTGGTTGGCCCCAGGTATGGGAGGATATCTGAATAGAGCATAGACAGATTCTAATATAGCATCTGATTTTAGTAGGATTTATTCATAAAACAGTGATATTTTGGTGAAAGAGAATTGGATAAATTATATTAAAACTTTACACCAAAATAATCAAGCTGGAAGAAAATGTTTAGGCACTTTGGAAATCTCTTTATCAAACTTAACTAATTTAGCTTACTTTTTTTTTTTTTTTTTTAATGATTGTTAAATCATCACAATGTACTGGTTTAGTAAATAAGCACCTACAATTGTCCAACAGGTAAACCCCGCAGCTGGATGTTTTTCCTGCTGACAGGTGGTTGCTTTAAGATTTCAGAATTATCCGTTCTCGTTAAACCTCCCATGTTTACATGAAATATACTCGTTTCAGAGATATATTTAAGGCTATTCACTAAACTCCAAACTTTAACAAATTGAAATTTACACAGCAAAAATAATTTCTATTCTTCATCAACCATATTAAAATGGTAACTTTTTTCGAAGTTCGTTACACATACATCTATTCTTGGGAGTGAAAAAGATGGCAGAAAAGAAAAAGGACTGCAGGGTGAAACCAATTTCTTCTACTGATAACTGGAATATTACATCCTGGATGTATAGAATATTCTAAAATAGTTGCTCAATGCAGTAATCAGCACATACCGTTTGTACAGAGGATTTTACTAGCTAAACTCTGAATGGATAAAAGCCAATTTCGGCCAAAAAAAGCCAAGCTAAACAGAAGTGGGGATTTCTTTATTTTTATTTTTACTTTTTGAAATCAGCAATTTTTCTAAATATTTTTTGCAATTCCTAAACAAGAATAAAGACCACTCACAAAAACTAAGTGGAACTAAAAAGAGTTCCAGCATAACTGTCATGAAGAAAAAAGCAACCCATTTTTAGTAAGCAAAATAGACAAAAAATAAAAATTAACGTTTATTAATACATTAAAATAGTAAACAAGAGCGTGATATGAGAAAAAAAGAGTGATGGTAAATAAAGAACCTATTATAATAAATGAAAAAAAGAACCTATCTAATATATCGTCAAGAAAGTCTGTATATATTGTGTGAAGTTAATATATTAACAATATAGCTGCCGAACATGTATCCAGTTCGGGAGAAAAATAGGCAGGGAGAAAGAAACAAAAGTATCTGTAAATTGGTACAAATTAGCAAAGAGGTTACAGAGAGGCAGACAGAGCAGTAATATTTCTATGTGCCTTTGAGGGCACCACTGTGGCTGCTGAAATAGCTAGATAACTAAATACTATTGTGCCTCTAAAAACCTAAGATTCTACCCTGTCTGTTCTTAACTAAAACAATAGAGAAGAAATGAAAAACAAACCAAACAAAAAAAAAATCGAAATTAGTAAATGATAATTACATAAAATCCAAGTATGAGGTGGCTAGTCAGTTATAATTTCGGTAGAGATGGGAGAAAAATAGTCAGTGTGATCAAAAAGCTGCAGCATCATCCCTAAGTCTTGAGCCACTCTCATTCTTAAAGGACCACTATAGGCACCCAGACCACTTCAGCTTAATGAAGTGGTCTGGGTGCCAGGTCCAGCTAGGGTTAACCCTTTTTTCTATAAACATAGCACTTTCAGAGAAACTATGTTTATATTAGGGTTAATCCAGCCTCTAGTGGCTGTCTCATTGAAGGAGGAGAGCTCCCCGCCCGGCGCTGGAGAAAGAGGTAAGTTTAACCCCTTCCTCACCCTAGAGCCCGGCGGGTGGGGGCACCTTCAGGGCACTATAGTGGTCCTTTAACAGTCCCGACGCGCGTTTCGCCAGTAAATGACTAGCCACCTCACTTCGATTTTATCAAATTATCATTTACTAATGTCAATGTTTTTTTTTTATTATTTATTTATTTATTTTATTCTCTTTAGTTTTAGTTTAGAATAGACAGGGTAGAATCTTAGGATTTATAGAGGTGCCCTTCTATGCACAATAGTATTAGTTTAATAGTATAGTTATCTAGCTATTTCAGCAGTCATTCGGTTGTCCTCGAAGGCACATAGAAATATTACTGCTCTGTCTGCCTCTCTGTAACCTCTTTGCTAATTTGTACCAATTTACAGATACTTTTGTTTCTTTCTCCCTGCCTATTTTTCTCCCGAACTGGATACATGTTCGGCAGCTATATTGTTAATATATTAACTTCACACAATATATACAGACTTTCTTGACGATATATTAGATAGGTTCTTTTTTTTTTATTTATTATAATAGGTTCTTTATTTACCATCACTCTTTTTTTCTCATATCACTATTTTTTTTCTCATATCACTATTTTCTCATATTACTATTTTAATGTATTAATAAACGTTAATTTAATTTTTTTGTCTATTTTGCTAACTACAAATGGGTTGCTTTTTTCTTCATGACAGTTATGCTGGAACTCTTTTTAGTTCCGCTTAACTTTTGTGAGTGGCCTTTATTCTTGTTTACTTAGAGTTATAGGGGTTACCCTCCAACCTTCATAGAGCAACCTGACACTTTCTCCCTATAAATTTAATTTTTCTACAAATTTTTTTGCAGTTCCTTTTTCAGTTGACTACAATCCAGTATTTCGTAAATAAACCACAGACTGATTTCCCAGTGGTCACCCGACTATTAACCGTACACTGTTTTTATAACACCTGTTAATTGTTTTATCGTTCAAGGTTTTTATCAAAGTGTGAATTCAAAGTGAATTTCACATTTAAGGTTAAAATAGCCAAACTTGAAAAGTCAACTGTGCTTTCAGCTTGGCTACTCTGGTCTTACATTTTGTATTCACTTTAAATTCACACTTTAATAAATAACCCTGTTTGTGTTCATCAGCCCACAGAGCATGACTTAAATTCATACACGTTACAAGAATTACCATTCTTTTCACTGAGGTTCCAATTAAAGCAAATGATCAATACCTAGAGCAGCGCCACCTAGTGAGTAAGCCTGCAGTGCTGCTATTTATCCCTTCTTTGGGAGAGGTGTGCCTATGGATAGGTGGAGGTAACTACAATAGGTACATTAGATATGTGCATTGCTCAGGCACATACTGTCTGTGTGCTACTAACACATTTTGCTCTGCAGTCTGTTCACACATCTTGCTGAGCTAAAGACTGACACATAATGCTGTGCAGGTTACAGACACTGTTGTCTATATCTTAGCAGTGACAGCTGTCAAGCAGCTATGATATATCTATTTTTTCTTTTTACAATAAAATACATTTATTTTACCGGATTTACAAGAAACCTGCAACGTATCTAGGTCAAGCTTGTAACCACATTTTTACTTCAAGCCAGAATTTGTTTTTAGATTTTTTTTTTTTTTTTAATATGTATTCTCATGTATCTGTAAAATGTGATTGAAATATAATATGTATACAGAAATGTTTTCATAATATATATAGGCTATATATTCCAACTGGGAAAAAAATAGTTTAACATTTTTAGTGCCAGGGGTATTCCTCTTGGACTAAAAAGGTTGTTTTTGCTGTTACGAGTAGATTAAACCCTGGTGAAAATGATGCACTAGTTATATTGTTACACTGATATTATATGATATACAGATAGCAGCCTGTCATTTTTTGTTTGTTTTCAGGTCATTACAGTCAGTTTAACTGTTCTGCTACCAGAGCGATGATTTCCAAACCCATCAGGCCAGGAACAGGAGTGTTTGTTATTTTATTACTATAATTATTCTGTTATCGTAAGATCAGTATGCATACAGATCTAGAAACAAGGAATTTGCTGAAAAATCTAACATGCATGTCTGCAAATACTCTGTTTTGTTTGAAAATGTTCTCCCTTACTGCCAAAGGATTGGTGTTGCATCACGAGTCCAGGCACTAATGGGGTTAAATATGTATTTCTTTGTACAGTTGACGTGCATGCACATGTCAGTGATAAAGGTGTTAGCCGTCTCACAGAAAAGTATTTTTCTATCATTTTTACCTTTTTATTCTGTGTGTAAAAATCACGTTGTTCTTTTGAAGCTCGGTGAAGTAGTCTGCACTTTACAGCGCCGTAAAATTAAACTTTACATGTGAAAATTACAGAAAATAAATCTCTACAACCAATCAATGCTGTGTTTGAAACTTATTAATGTAGCGTGCTGGGTGGACTTGCGTGACGAATGCTGAAACATATCTTCTTGTTTAGTTTCTTTATTGTTGCAGAATTGGTATGACACTGAATGGTTGTTCTGTTTACAAGTTCTCCAAATGTATCAGTCATCTATCATCCTTCACACACATGTATAAATAAACATAGAAGTTTTAAGGGATCACTACTGTGACATACAGATGGGCCTAATGGAAAACCTGAATTGTCCATATCATACTTCCCAACATTTAACATGGACAACGAAGGACACTTTCATTTTAGGGGAGTGAATGGGGGGGAGGGGATGTGGCCAGGGGCTGGACTGTTTTGAAAAATTTTAGGTGACTTACTAATATCAATTTATGCAATTAAAATCTAATTTAGATCTATCTTATTTACAAAGGCTGATTTCTAAACACATTTATTGTAGTTTACAGACACAGTACTGTTAATATAATAGCTGTGGAGCTCTGTTATACACTTAGACACAAGAATAATTTGGAACTCCTGGTAAAGAAGGACATTTGTGTAGAAAAGAGGAACAGATCTAAGTCAATAATTGGGACTGTCCCTCCTTAATAGGGACACTTTGGAGGTATGCAATATACTGGGTTTCCTATATTCAAGCACAGATTTTTACTCATTCAGGTCTACTCACTGAAAAAGTTGTCAAGGGGATGGCAAGTAGTAGGCCAAAATGAGCAATTTGGCTATTTCCAGTGTTTATGTAAAATGGGCAATTCCCGCCATAAGCTTTCCACAAATCCAGTTTTAGTGAATAAATTGTGTTTTAATTGTGTAAAAAAGGTGATGGACCAGAGGCGTAACTAGAATCCACGAGGCCCCGGTGCGAAAACTGTCCTGGGGCCCCCCTCATACACCTACCCCCCACACATGCCGACACACACGACACACACATAGATATACACACAGAGACCCATACATACATACATACACACACACATAAACTCACACAGACATACATACATACACATAAACTCACACAGACACACATACATACACACATAAACTCACACAGACATACATACATACACACACACACGCAAAATGTTTGTCGCCCTCCTGTTTTTAGGTGCAGGAGGGTGACTTTCTGGGGTACAGTTGTGGATCAGCCTGATGGGAATCAGAGTTCCCACTCTGATTCCCTCCTCTCTTCCTCCCGCGCGGCTCCCGGTAGTTGCTGAGTGGAAGTGACCGCGCTGACCGGGCCCCCTGGATATTCATTGCCATCGCGTGGACCTAACAGCATGGGCCCCTTAACGTGTGGCCCAGCGGTTCTACCCCAGCGCAACACATGGTGGCGGACACCCGGTCACAGGGACCCGCAGGGCAGCCGTGCCCCCTGGAGTGACGGGCCCGGTCGCAGCTGTGACCCCTGCAACTGCGGTAGTTTCGCCACTGTGTTGGACCTAGGTCTACCGTGTTAAAAAGGTTGGACTAGGTGGATATAAAGGGCTTAACCCCAATATAAGAAAGACAACAAATTTAAGAATTAGTCTCCACTTGCAAAGACAGGAAGCAAGGGTACCGGATCTTAAATAAATACCACCACTAGTAAATTAATTTTATAAGGTAGTACTAATAATAATAAAGTATGAAAATAGTCTTTAAAAAATTAATTAAACCACATGAAATACGTATGGAAAAACGTGAACAAAACTTTGTGAAAAACTTGATTGTGATTAAGAAATGTTAAAAGGTAAAAGGTATGTCACAGGTAGATATTGGAAATGACATACTAAATGCTTATAGCAAGCTTTCTTATAGGATGTATTGTGCTTCTGCAGTCTCTAACTTGGCTTATAAACATTACTTTAAACAGGTGTAAAGCTGAGTGAGTTAGCAACTGCATCCAATATGGTGATACTTTTTTACTATATAATATGGAAACACGGTGTTACTTAGCATTTCTGAATTTCCTATTTTTCTCTATGGTAGATTTAAAATTGCAGCTGCTAATTAGTGGAAGCAGCTACGAGTCATTAATTTTAGAGTTAGGCATACTGACACTGCTTTTAATTAACAAAAAGAAATATTAAAAAAAGCAAAGGTGGAGTCTGGCAGCCAAGCCGAGCGGTCGCACACTACATGGGCTCTGATGCAAAATGCCCATATACAGCTATAATTAACGAAAAAAAATAAAAAAAAATAAAAATCGACTGCACAACTGCTCCAAAAAAAGGGATCTTCCTAAGCTGCAACAAGCAACAGAAGTTCCGACCGCAAGCGACAATCTCTCACCGGAGATCGACCCGAGGCCCACAGAGGGCTCGACCGGGCTGCAAGAGGGAGGCAGCCAACCCCTTAGCTGCGGCAGTCCTCTCGGCTGGAGGTCTCACCGGAATACTTTATCATCCCCCCCACCGGTGGGGGACATCCCGGCGATTACAAGCGACAATCCAGCTACAGTAACCTGTCACAAAATGGCGGAGACAGTGTACTCTCCTGAGAACGCGCACAGAGACACTGCAACAATCTCTCAAAGCTCCATAGACCACTTCTTACAAAGGCTCGATGAGCATTTTAAGCGGTTCTGGGATGCCCTAGAACACTGCCAAGCACAGTTGGCACCCCAGTCATGGGGGGGGGAGGCTTTAAGGGAGGTGAAAGCCGGAGAGCGGGGAGGACTCCTGCGGGCCCAGCTATCGCACAACTGCCCAAATCTCCTATTACAGGCCTACCTGGGCCGAGGGCCACCACGGGCGAGACCCGAAAACATTGCCCACACAGAGGGAGACCCCACCACCGAGGACGGAAGGGTAATCCCCATAGGGGCTGCTGTGGGGCCCAGCACGACGGATCAAACAGCAATCCTCAAGCTGTGCCTAGTCAGGGCATAGAGTGAAGTGCCCAAGAACGGGAACTGTCCGACACCAAGATGCCGAAGTATAATATATGAGGAGTACCTCACCCGACTACTCTTTAGGCTATGCGACTCCACTCAGGATTCCCATCTATCACCAGGCTTTTACATATGCCCATTAGCTCATTTTAATCAGCAGTATTTTTTCATATGCTTTTACTTATGTTTTTCTCTCAGCTACATATATATGTGTTCTCTCCTAGGCTCATAATTCATAAACCTCCTCATGTAGAAGGCTGCAATTAGATAATCCTTGTAGCATGCTAGACTAAGGGCAAGATCACTGCCTCACATACGCTGAGGGTAAAATCAAAATTAGCTAGTAAAGTTAGTAAATTAGTCTGTGAACCTGATACTTATTTACACAGCGAGTTCAGTGTCCTAAGATGCGCAGAATCACTCAACAGACATCACTGCATTATGATTATGCTCTGATAGGCTGCTCTGGACCATTTTGTTATACACTCAATGAACATGTATACCCGCATTTCAATGTTCATCAAAGTTACCAGCCCACTCTAGATTACCTATAGAAATTAAGCAGTTTACAACTATTGAACCAAGCTGAATGTCGTTAGATGTATGTAAAATGTGCACGTCTATCTACTACCCTATTGTGACTCATGAAACCAAGCCAGAGGAATGCCATTGGGGTACCTCAGGCATGTATGTACAAATCCTTGCACGCCAAAAATAAAAAAAAGCTTTGTTTTATTTAGTTTTTTTTTAGGCTAATGCAGTTTGTGTCCTGGATGTGCTGGAACGAAGGTGGATTGTGATGTTGATTGCTAATATAATATACATACATTTAAAGCAAAATGGAGTCTTTCGTGAAAAAAAGGTTAAAGTGTACTAGAGAATTGTAAATGTTTCATTCAATGGTGTAAGTTCAAGAGATGGTTTCCCTTTAAAGTGACGTTTCTGTGATTTAGATTACTATGAGTTAATTGATACGAATCTATGTATTGGATGCTCTCCACAACCAATCAGTACATGAAATTATACATACAATATTAGGTGGAGTATATAAAAAATGATTCTTCCAATGAGAGATGAGAGAAAATATTCCTTTAGTGGTTCTCCCTAAAATTAGGACATAGATAAAAAGAGAGAGAGTGCAATATAGCCAATTCTCAATATTTTAGTGCGGTATATAAGTAATAAAGCACTCACAAACACAGAACCAATGCAGAGGCTCAAGGATTCAGCTTTGTGGGTGCCTTCTTGCTACTGTCAGGGGTTTCCAAATGATAGGATGTCCTCTCAAGATGTAGCAGAAATAAAGTGCTTTATTGTAAAGTGCACAAAATATACATAAAATATAATAAAATAAATAAGAAACCTTACAGTCTCGAAGGTTAGTCCTTATATAAGGAAGTGGGTCCCTTTAGCACCCACAAAGCTGAATCCTTGAGCCTCTGCATTGGTTCTGTGTTTGTGAGTGCTTTATTACTTATATACTGCACTAAAATATTGAGAATTGGCTATATTGCACTCTCTCTCTCTTTATCTATGTCCTAATTTTAGGGAGAACCACTAAAGGAATATTTTATCTCATCATTTTTATATACTCCACCTTATATTGTATGTATATTTCTGTTTATGTGTGGGGTTAAAGGGAAAACCCACTAAGGTGTTTGAGTATTTGTTATTATTGGTGTTACTCATTGGGATATTGCTACACAGTGATTTCTATTGTATTGTATTAGTACAGGAAATTAGCTTCTCTGCACAGATTAATTTGCAAGACAGATCTGCTCTATGTTTTTGTTTTTTGTTTTTTTAAAGCAAAAGCCAAAACCTTGTACAAGTGCAACAATTGTTACAATTACAAAATATGTTGCTGAATCTTGATACAGTCTTGAATCCAGCTGGAAAAAAAGATTGCATTCACATTTTTTTAGTGTCAGAATTGTAAAACTGGCATTGGGGGATTAAAACAGTTTTTGCCATAATCCATTTCTCCAGTTAAAGGACCACTCTAGGCACCCAGACCACTTCAGCTTAATGAAGTGGTCTGGGTGCCAGGTCCAGCTAGGGTTAACCCATTATTTTATAAACACTAGAGGCGCTAGAGGCGCTTGCGTGATT